TTTATAACAACCAGTAATGTTAGCTAGGCATTTGTCTGCAAGTCACTGTCATATTCTGACAGTGTGCAGCAAGGGACATTTTTGAAATGGTATTTAAATAAATGCTGGAATATGATGACACTGTTTTTAGTTTTTGTTCTTTTTTTAAGTGACCACAATGAATTGACTCATCACCGACTGAGAATGTCCAGAAGAGATTCACCAAGTTTGAATTCATGAAAAGGCTTTCGCCATGATTAACTATTGCAAGAACAGCTGTAATTTCTGAGCATTTCTGGACACCTTCAAAGAGCTGCTTCCAGGAAATGAAGACAAGAAGAAGATCTCCTGTTTTCAGAGCATTACAGGAAGACTATTACGAAGGAGATGGCTGACATAAAGCAAAAAATGTTACTGTTGAAAGAACCTATTTTCTTAAGTTAAAGAATAAGTAATTCTGTTTTAGTTTTTCAATCAGCATTTCAGAGTAACAATATACTGACCAGACGTTAAACCCTCTGTTATCTTAGAACAAGTTATCTTTTGTTTTATTCCAATGTACAAAGGGTTTGTTCTACAGTTATGATGGTAGTTATAAGTAGTCCAGTGTGTTTCACTACATTTGAGGTGAGAATATCAATAACTCTGTTAGCATTGCATTTGACACTGTAATACTAAATTACATCTTTATAATTGTTGCTACTAGTTTCAATTTACTTGAGGTAAAAGTTAATATTAATGACATTTTTGGCGAGGTTAATGACAAGTTGTCATAACGAAGACATGTTGAAGAATGTCAACTTTGTATTAAAAGTGTCATTATTTACCGAATGACACTTTATGAAAACAGTCATAACTTTTCATGAAGACTTATTGATGTTCATGACACGTGTTATGTCATGTTTATGACAGTGTCATGACAGTCTTATTCACACCCCTTCAAATAAAGTGTTACCGAAGCTTCTGATTCAGGAAATGGATAAAGGGCGATTCCACCTAATTATTCACTACAATCAGCATCTTTAATCTAGTTAAAATTTAAAAAACCTAGATCCCTTAAACCTGGACTTTATTATTATCAACTAAAATGAGAATATTTAAAATTAAGTGTGGGATTAGTGGAACTTTAATAAAGGGAGATTTCATTCTCACTCACTTTTTACATCCTAACCTTTGACCTGCTTGACATGAGGGGGATTTCTACACACTGGGGGTCCGAATGCTGTCCTGTTCTGACCTCAGGTCAGCAGGTCCAACTCAGTTACACAGAGGGACTAAATTAAACTCTGGATCCAAGTCCAGGAACAAACTCAGAAAATATTTATTAGAACAGAAGATATGATCTTTGATTAATGATCAATTATATATACTATTCACTGAAATACCAATAATTATATAATTGCATACCCCAATGTTTCCAGTCTGCAGCCTTCAGTCTGTAGAAACCCACAGAGCTCCTTCACTCCAGAATCTCCCAGCATGGTTTTGCTCAGGCTCAGTTCTGTCAGATGGGTTGGGTTGGACTTCAGAGCTGAGAACAGAGACGTCCAGCTGGTCTCTGACAAACTGCAGTCCCTCAATCTGAATAAAGAATAAATATAAGCAGTAATACCATGGTCAGTAAACCATTTACCAGTGGTTTTTGGCACTGTGAGCAGGTGCCAGGTTGTGCTGAAAAATGAAATCATCTCCATAAAGCTTTTCAGCAGATGGAAGCATGAAGTGCTCCAAAATTTCCTGATAGCCATTACTGTGCTCAATTGGTCTGCCAACTCTCCTGACCTGAACCCCATAGATTATCTGTGGGATATTGTAAAGAGAAAGTTGAGAGACCCAACAGTCTGGATGAGCTTAAGGCCGCTATCGAAGCATCCTGGGCCTCCATAGCACCTCAGCAGAGCCACAGGCCGATTGCCTACATGCCACGCCGCATTGAAGGCTGCAAAAGGATTCCTAACCAAGTAATGAGTGCATAACCGAACAATTATTTGAAGGTTGACTTTTTTGGTATTAAAAACACTTTTCTTTCATTGGTCGGCTGAAATGTGGTAATTTTTTGAGACAGGAATTTTGGGGTATGCCAAAATCATCAGTATTAGAACGCTAATTGACCCGATATATTTCAGTTGGTGTGCAATTAATCTAAAATATATGACAGTTTAATTTTTATCACTACATTATGGAAAATAATTAACTTTATGACATTATGGTAATTCTTTATAAGTACCTGTATATTAGGATCACTATAGATAAAAAGTAGTACATTTCTGCCAAAACCCCATAAATCTTCTGGAAAAAGAAAAATTATAAATTCAAAGTCAAAATATTTCTAGAAAAACTAGTTTTGAGATTAATCTCAAACATTTCTGAGTTTTAAGTAAAAAATGTTCAACATTTCAACTTCAATTGTTTGTGTTTTATCTACAACTTTTTATCTCAGAATGTCTCAGTATTTTGGCAGAAATATACTTTCAAAATCTACTTTTAAATATACTTTGTCTTTATGCAGTGGCCCTAATACTGATCATTAGCAGTTTTAGGGCCATTAATACTGGCCCTAAAACTGCTGTGATGGTTAAAGTCCTAAAGTCCTAACAGAGATCTTCATTTTACTCTTGTTAAATTTTAATCTGTTCCATGAACTGCTCATCTGCTCAGAATGTAGTTTTATGTGCAAGTTTGCATACAAATGATCAATAAATCTTCTTGTAATAATCACATTCTGCTGTAATTGCAGCCTGTCTATGCAATGCATGGCAGGAGCCTACTGTTCTACACCCAATAAATGGTCTCTATTTATTCATAGCTTTATTTATTTTTCCTCCGTCACCATTAATGTGGCCCGAACCACTGCATGCCCCCACACAAAACTGATATCAAAACATTCAGCTTGATCCCGAGAAGGGAGCCATTACTTTTAGTGGGATTCTGAGTTAAAATTGCAACATAAATTGTGAAAAACGAGCAAAAAGCGAGGCTTAGTGTCTCAGAGAGTCAGTCTTTCTCTCTGACACATATATACAGCACAGTGCATTTCTGACTCCAAAACTCTTTTTTTTATGGAGGACTAAAACCGATATCCTCTCCTTGGGCTGCCACCTTATCGTGGTGGAGGGGTTTGAGTCAGTAGCGGAACAAGTCATCGTCGGGTCGGGGGGCGGGGCTAATGACCGGGCTCCTATATGTTTACAGGATGTACCTTTGGCAGGAACGTCAGCGCGGGCGGGGGGTTGGGAGGGTAAACGGGATGGAACGTATTCATTAGTCTCTTTTACCCAGAAAACACTTGGAGAAGAAATCGGAAAAACCATGAGTGAATGAAACAGTGACTGGGCAAGCCTACTATATAATTTACAGGGGGACCACCTCTATATTATACTACATACACCTTATTCAACAGGAGAGGGCCCACTTTCTCTGGAAGAGGACGGTTCCTCTCTGACCCGGCCCAACAGACCCACAGCTTCAGGACAAAGTGAGGAACCTGCTGCTGCTGCTGCAAACCTCACTGTCATTCAGTTCATCTAGATTTGCTTTTCTACAATCAGTCACTTCTTAGATGTTTCATTAATGATGATTTGAACTGGTCAGTGTTTGTGGCTCGACTGGAGGAAAACATTTCATTCTGGATGTAAAGATGAGAATCAGAAATAAAACAATCTGAATCTTTACCAACCAAACTGAAACATCTCCATCATTAATTAACTTCATTTGAATTATTTTACTCATTTTGTTCATCAGTCAGAAACATTTTAAAGTGAAAAAAAGAAAAACAAACTTCAATAATTTCAGTCTGAAATAAGATAATTATTCATTAATAAGGTAAAATGACAGAGATTTTATTTTGTCATTTAAACAGGCTTTTTTTTTAAAGAAAATAATTAGAATAAATTTATTAAACTAATTATTAAAATATCAATGAATGATTTTATTGGATAAATAGAGAAAACAAACCTCAGTTTCTTCATTTTACTGACTGAACTCTCCAGGATCTCAATCAGATTCTTCATCTCAGATTCTCCACCTCCCTCTATGCAGATCTCACTAATTTCCAGTTCAGTCAGATCTGGGTTGGACTTCAGAGCTGAGGCCACAACTTCACATTCAGCCTTTCCAAGCCTACAGCCGCCAAGTCTGTGATGAGAGAAGAAATAAATTCAATTCTAATGAAATCAATCTGAATCATAAACAGACTAAAATATGATAACAGTGATGTCATCTGAACATCTGATCAACATCTGATCTTTAATTTACTGAGTTTGACCCAACAGAGAGTCTGTGCAGTTCCTGATTAAAGTCCAGGTTCTGGTTCTGGTTCTGGTTCTGGTCCAGGCTTCATGTCCTCAGACCTTCAGCTGCAGTCAGTCAAAATAAGCGACTAACTAATGACTGAGGAGGAGATTAATAAAGTAATATCCAAACTTAAGGAATCAGATGTCAGATGAGGATGGCGACCCGACAGAGCAGCTGCTTAAGAATTGATTTAATCATGATCAGGTGCAAAAACATGGGCACCTTAACAGAAAAGTGACATTAATATTTAGTAGATCCTCCCTTTTGCAAAAATAACAGCCTCTAGTCGCTTCCTGTAGCTTATAATGAGTTCCTGGATTCTGGATGAAGGTATTTTTGACCATTCCTCTTTACAAAACAATTCCAGTTCAGTTAAGTTTGATGGTCGCCGAGCATGGACAGCCCGCTGCAAATCATCCCACTGATGTTCAATATTCATGTATGGGGACTGGGATGGCCATTCCAGAAAATTTTAATTGTTCCTCTGCATGAATGCCTGAGTAGATTTGGAGCCATGTTTTGGATCAATGTCTTGCTAAAATATCCATCCCTGGCGTAACTTCAACTTTGTAACTGAATCTTGAGCATTATTCTCAAGAACCTGCTGATATTGAGTGGAATCCATGCGACCCTCAACTTTAACAAGATTCCCAGTGTCGGCACTGGTCACACATTGGCCATCAAAGCATGATGGAACCTCCACCAAATTTTACAGTGGGTAGCAAGTGTTTTTCTTCGAATGCTGTGTTGTTTTTTTGTTGGTTTTTTTTGCCGCATAACGCCTTTTTTATGACCAAATAATTCAATCTTTGTTTCATCAGTCCACAGGACCTTATACCAAAATGAAGCCGGTTTGTCCAAATGTGCTTTTGCAGACCTCAAGCGACTCCGTTTGCGGCGTTCTTGCAGAAAAGGCTTCTTTTGCATCACTCTCCCATACAGCTTCTCCTTGAGCAAAGTGCGCTGAATTGTTGAACGATGCACAGAGACACCGTCTGCAGCAAGATGATGCTGCAGGTCTTTGGAGGTGGTGTGTGGTTTGTCCTTGACAGTTCTCACCATTCTTCTTCTCTGCCTCTAATATTTTTCTTGGCCTGCCACTTCTAGGCTCAACAAGAACCGTTTCCTTACTGTGCTCCTCACAGTGAAAACTGACAGGTTAAATCTCAGAGACAACTTTTTGTAACCTTCCCCTAAACAACTATGAACAATCTTTGTTTTCACATCATTTGAGAGATGTTTTTAGGTGCCCATGTTGCCACTCTTCAGAGGATTCAGATAGGAGAACAACTTGCATTTGGCCACATTAAATTCCTTTTCTCATGATTGGCTACACCTGGCTATGAAGTTCAATGCTTAATGAGGTTACCAAACTAATTTTGTGTTTCAGTAAGTCAGTGAAAAGTAGTTAGGAGTATTCAAATCAATAAAATTATGAGGACACCCAAATTTTTGCACCTGTCAAATTTTGTTTTAATGCATTTTTCACATTTTCTGTTAGTACAATAAACCTCAATTCAATATTGAAATATTACTGTGTCCATCAGTTATTAGATATATCAAACTGAAATAGCTGTTGCAAACACCCACATATTTAGAAATAAAAATAATTAAGATTAATAGGGATGCCCAATAGGGGCGATTCTAGGATCTGACCTTTAGAGGGGCTTAGCCCCCAGCAGGGCTAAGACCCAAAAGAAGATATTTGCTGGTGCATTTTTCTAAATCTCATTGCTTATTTACATACATTCACACATAAAATTAAATAGTTTTGTCCAACTAAAACTGTTAACTACATACAGCTCTGGAAAAAATGAAGAGACCACTGCACTGAACCCCATTGAAAATCTTCTGGTTATTCCACCAAATATTGATTTCTGAACTCTTCCTGAGTTAAAACCTTAGTTTACTTGTTTATATTCATTTAGAAACAAGTACTTTCAGATTTATTTGGGGTCTGAAAGCACTGCATCTTTTTTGTTAATTTGACCATTTCTCATTTTCTGAAAATAAATACTAAATTTTTCCTTGGAATTTCAGAGACATGTCAGTAGTTAAACAATGTTCATTTTACTTCAACATGTACCTATAAAGAGTAAAATCATAGAACTGATTATTTTTTCCAGAGCTGTAAATATGTGAAACCAAATCAGACGACATCATGCCTGCCAACATCTGCTAACATTAATGAGAGACAAGCAGCTGTGGAGTGCCAGTCCTAGTGGGGCCTGCTGCCCCGGATATTAAAATAAAATGTACTCAAAACTATCCATTTCATTTGAAGAACATTTTATGAAATTAATAAGATTAATAAACCTAAAACCAATTTATTATCAAGGTAGAAGTTCAGGTTAATGACTAGTTCTCCATTTGTCATCAACCTGAACTTTATTTGAAAATCGTATGTAGAAATTGCATCACCCTGATTTTTAGTAGGCCTTTTTGCTTTAAACAAGAATGTTTGTTCATCTATGGAAAAGTAGAAATTATGAGTCAGGGTTTTACTATTTCGGTTCACAGTTCATGAAGTGGGTCCATCTGTCATGATTTGTAGAATTAGTGAGGGAGAACGCAGGGAGGACCCAGGATGAAGATGATTTAATAATGAAATAATCCAGACGGAACAGAATTCAAACGGGCCGCACAGGAAGCAACGGGGATGACAGAGATGCACACAAGACGTACACACGACAAGGATCCGACAAGAGACAAAGACAACAGTAGGACTTAAATACACAGGGAGGGTAATCAGTAAACTAGACACAGCTGGAATCAATCAACAGGGAGGACAGGACAGAGACTCACAAGGAAACAGGACTTAACACAGAAAATCTCAAAATAACTACACAGAAAAACACAGATCACAACACTATCATAGTTTCAGTACCAAACACCTTTCTGTTCACAAAGAAACAGCCTAATATTCTGTACTGTTCTTTAGTTTTACCTTATTTAAGTGACTCCAGAGGTTTGTGAAATTAATTACAAAACAACACAACAGTCACTAATCAAACTTCAAAACAGAGCAAAAAGAGTAACTAACAAGACTTATTACCGGGCTCAGACTAACCCATTATTTATCCAAATATTTGCACACATACAACATTTTGTACTGAACAACTACAAAGTAATCTTGAAATAAATAAAACCAATGCTGTACACAATTTCCATTCATAAATATCACAAAAATAATTCAAAATTAATTAAGTACTGCATTGCCACTTAAAATTGCCCATTGGAAAAAACCACTAAGCATGATATTTTCCATTACAAATTGCCATCTGATTAAAGCTGCTGATTATACAAGTCTGGCCCTTTGTAGCTGGTTAAAAATATATATTCATAATAGTCTTTACTGTTTTCTTTGGAGGCTGGGTCTACACCAAACTTACCATCAATAATTCATCATTTGATATATTAAGTGAGGCAAAGAGCTACTTGTCTCTCCAGAGATTCAGGTTGCAGATCCTGATCTAGCAAATGGAAAATATGATCCTATATCAATACAGCAGCTAACAGTGCAGTACTATAATTATTAATTCATTGTTAAAGTAAAATTGTGAAGGTTAAAAAAATCTACCACTAAATGTTAGCAAAACACATTTAGTATAATTTCCTCAGTACCTCCGTAAGTCCCTGTCTAGGACCGGCCCTGGCCTGCAGGTCTGTGTCTGGTGTACTTTTGCTTGGCAAGTTTTATTTTTCATTGATAGAAAGTGAGATTATCCAAACTGGTAAACCACATTAATAAAATAGCAAAATAATACATTAAATGACCACTGAAGCCTGAATTCTTAAAATATATCAACATTCCTGAATAAACCATACAGAAACAACAAGCGTTTTAACTGTAGGAAATATCCATCTATGTACTATTTATCTATTAGCATGATTTTTTCTTTAAATGGGCATTTATATTATTTTGGCTGTGATGGACCGAGCAGTTAAGGAACAGCCAGGCACCGGTTTAAAGTCAAAATAGTTATTTTTTTATTTAACCCAAACAAAACTTGGGTAAATAATAGAAAAAATGACAAATTTGGGCCCATAAAAGAGGTCAAAGTAACAGACATCAACTCAGACTAACTCAAAAAAACAGACCTCTCAAACAGAGCCAAAAGGGGACTTAAATACTGGCTGATCAGGCCACATACAAAACACAAAAGGGGAAAATACACAGAAACCTAACTGAAACTAACGTAACAAAATCCCATTCCCCCCCTCTGGATGATGCGTAGTGGTGTGAACCAATTTGCAGTCTCAACTGGCTTGCTCCACCCCTTCTCCACCTCTCTGCTCTCCTAAGGATTGGGGCAGTCAGCACTTAAGAAACTCAGAAACAAAACAAAGATTAAATCAAGCAAAACACAACAATGTAAACTGAAATGTGTGCACTTATTCTAGAATACAATGTGATGTGTTGCTTTCTAAACAAAACCAGTTATTCTGTAAATTAAATCCTAAACTTAAAGAAATCCAAATATAAATGAGATAAACCTATTGCGTGTGGTGAGAGTGAATATTACCACATTTGTGTGGCTGTAACTGCAGCCATCACATTGGCTAATGCTATTAAATAAAATATCATCCAAACTCAACATCCTAAGCAAATAATCTAACCACAATAGTCTACTAAAAGCTGAAGAAGAAACTGAATCAATAATAAAAATGTTCTGTACCCTATCAGCCTCTGGAGATGATTGAGGGATGAAGAGACGCTAATGTCTGGTTCTTTAGTTCTGACGGGTCTCCTGTATTCTTCTCCTGATCCATTCTGTCTATCATACACCAGCACAGTGCGCCACAACGGACATTTTTTTTGTCCATCGATAGACACATTATCCATCCTCACTGACATTGTTCAGCCTGGGATGTGCATCTTTTCACTCACGTCTGGATTTCTCCAAGAGCTTTTGCTTGTAAGGATGGTGGAGTATTGGGTGATAATTTAAAAAGATGCGGGTTGATAGCACAGCTGTGTAGTGTTCTTATCTAAACATCCACAGTCAGTTTTCTTGATGTTTACTAACATCAAGAAAACTATCATTTGGAAATAAATGACTTTTTTAGGCTCCAGCTGAGACACCATTGTAATAAAAATCTAAAGTATTTGAAGGAGGAGACAGGTCTAATTAAAATCCTTTTAGTCATGTAACAGAAAAATTTCCAAATAAATAATATCCAGACTATATGCATGTCTACAAATGGGGAGAAAAATATCATAACATACATTAAAGTTAAACAAAATAATCCAAAATAACAATAACTGATGATGTTTGGTTAAATATTTTCATTTCTCAGATTCACAGCTCAAGTTCAGGCCTGTGTAAGAAATTTTCTTAGAAAAACTTGGAGAGTTTTTTTGTTGCCTCTAACATTAAGAGTAAACGATAGGAACTGTGGGAAAATGTCTGCAGGACATTTTCATGTCTTTTGGAATGTACTGAGATTGACCCCTACTGGTCAGAGGTGATAAAGGAAATCAATATACTTTGGACTTAAATTTAACCTGTGATTTTACTGAGTAGAAGGTTCTGGGTTCTGTCAGGTTAATTGGTTTCTCTAAATTCTCTCTAGGTGTGAGTGTGTGCATTGGCGCAACTGCACATTATTCTGGTGGATGCGAAAACATAAATCCACCCCCCCCAAAGGAAGGAACGTACGTCTGCGTACAAAAAACACAAAATACACTCGTCAACCCCCCTCCCCCGATACCCCGAGGCGAGGGGTGAAAGGGTGAAACTCGCGCTAGATTTACCTCACCATGTGCGTGAGGTGAAGGAGCGTAAGGCGCGCTGAAGTGTATGGGAAAACATAATCGGCGCGCCGCCCTCTCCAGACGGGGTTTTGGCGCCCCCTCTGGTGCTGCGCCCCTATGCGTTGCATGCCCTGAATACCCACTTTTTGCGTCACTGAGTGTGTGTGTGCATGGTTGTGTGTCCTGTCTGTCTCTGTGTTGCCCTGCGACAGACTGGCGACCTCTCCAGGGTGACCACGCCTCTCTCCCGGATCGTTAGCTAGAGAGGCGCCAGCGACCCTCTCGACCCCACTAAAGGAGTAGGGTGTACAGAAAATGGATGAATGAAACGTCCACATGATCCTGGCACCAAATGTATGATCAATTTAATTATCTTTTTTATTGTGAATTTACTCACATTGGGTTTTACTCTTTATTATCATTCAACAAGATGGAGCTGGACAAAGACAATTTTAAGTGTGAGGCTGAATGTTTAGTTTATTTATATTTCTAAAACTGCAAAAGTAACAAAAAATAAAGTTTATAAAAGAAATAGTCCAGAGGATGAAGGAAGTAGTTAAAGGCCAAAAACATCCAGAATCAACTTGAAGAAAGAAGAAGAAACAGGAGGACAATAGTGCTGAATCAGCATTCACACAATGAAAACATCTGGACTCACCGAGCCTTTCTGCAGTTCCTCACAGCTGGAACCAGTCTCTGTCGTCCATCTGATGATGTGTTGTACTTCTCCAGGTCCAACTCATCCAGAACCTCTGACATCTGCAGCATGAAGGTCAGAGCTGAACAGTCAGACACTGAGAGCTCCTTCCCTGAATCCAGCAGCCGTTGGATCTCCTGATAAAATGAGACGTCGTTCATCTCCATCAGACAGTAGAAGATGTTGATGCTTCTGGCAGCAGAGATTCCATCAGTGTTCATCTTCTTCAGGTTGGTGATGATTCTCTGGATGGTTCCTGGACGGTTCTCTGTCTGACCCAGCAGATCCTGTAAGAGTCTCTGGTTGCACTCCCCAGTGAGACCATGAAGGAAGCGGACAAACAGGTCCAGGTGGCCATTTTTACTGCTGAGACATTTCTTCATGACTTTCTTCATGAACTCATCTAGAGATGTTTCATTGTATTCTTCTCCCAGGAACGTCTTGATGACCTCTGACCTCCTGCTGGGGAAGCTGTGGAGCATGTAGACGGCAGCCAGAAACTCCTGGATGCTCAGATGAACAAAGGAGTAGATGGAGATGTTACGCGTTCCTCTCTCCTCTTTAAACATCTGAGTGAAAACTCCTGAGAACAACGCAGCATCTTTGATGTTGATGCCGCATTTATCAAGATCTTTGTCATAGAAGATCAGGTTTCCCTTCAGCAGCTGATCAAAAGCCAGACTACCTAGAGACTCAATCAGCTTCCTGTTCTCCGGATCTTCTTCAGCTTCTTCTTCATAATTTTCTTCCTTGATTGTAAGCTGAAACAGCAGGAACTCTATATACATCTCAGTCAAGGTCTTGGGCAGCTCTCCTCCCTCTCTGGTCTCCATCATTTCATCCAGAACTTTAGCAGTGATCCAGCAGAAAACTGGGATGTGACACATGATGTGGAGAGTTTTTGATTTCTTGATGTGGGAGATGATCCTGCTGGCCTTCTCTTCATCATCACTGAATCTCTTCCTGAAGTACTCCTCCTTCTGGGGGTCAGTGAACCCTCTGACCTCTATGACCCTGTCAATAGATTTATCTGGGATCAAACTGGCTGCTGCAGGTCGTGTGGTTATCCACAGGAGAGCAGAAGGAAACAGTTTCCCAGTGATGAGGTTTGTCAGCAGAACATCCAGTGAAGTGGACTTTTTAACATCAGTGAGGACTGGATTCTTGTTGAAGTCCAGAGGAAGTCGACTCTCATCCAGGCCATCGAAGATGAACAGAACATGAAACTTTTTAAAGCTGCAGATTCCTGCATCTTTAATTTTGTCAAAGAAGTGATGAATCAGTTCCACCAGGCTGAAAGTTTCTTCTTTCAAGTTATTCAGCTCTCTGAAAGTGAATGGAAATATGAAATCAATGTTCTGGTTGGTTTTGCCTTCAGCCCAGTCCAGAGTGAACTTCTGTGTTAAGAGTGTTTTCCCAATGCCAGCCACTCCCATGGTCATCACTGTTCTGATTCGCTGCTTCCTACCAGGGTTGGGTTTAAAGATGTCTTCCCTTTTTATTTTTGTTCCTTGATTACTGGATGCTGTTTCAATCTGTCTGATCTCATGTTCCTGGTTGACCTTTCCAGTTCCTCCTTCTAAGATGTAGAGCTCTGTGTAAATATCATCCAGAGAGGTTTTCTCTCCACGTATTGCAATGCCTTCACAGATAGATTGGAACGTTTCCTTTAGAGAGTCTTTGAGGTCACGTTGACATCGATCATCAAAATCTGAACAAACAGATAAAGACACAAGATGTAACACTTGAACAAATTAAGATTCATCCTGTGAATTTTTATGGAGCTGTACAGTGTAGCTTTGCTTATTAATAAATTGACTGGACTACAAACATCATGCTGAATATTCAAAGTGGTTTCACACTAGGAGTCACCTCCTATTATGTCTACAGGAAAACCTTTCCATAGATTTTGACCTACAGCTCAGCAGGAGGTGTCAGACCGTAGTGCTCCATTTATTTTTGTTGTTATAACTGTAGTTAGTCACTGTTGGACGAGTTCACTTCAACTCAGTCATGATTAGTGAAGGGACTAACCTAAATCAAAGGAGTCAGAGAACAAACTCAGCTGATTGGACAGTGTAGGATCTATAAAATGAAGATGTTTGATCATCAGTCTGCAGGCTCTCTGTCCTTTCTTCATCACATCATCGATGGTGTCGCGGGCCTTGTTTGCTCTGGTTTGGTTCTTCTGAAGTATTTCTTCTTTCTCTAAACGTTTAAAAATGCCATCTGCCTCAAGGCCATCGAGGAGCTGAGTCAGGATTTCCTCAGAAACTCTCTCCACAAACTCAATGCGAATCTTGAAAAGTTTTTTCTCTGCAGACAGAAATCAGAAACAGGATTCATTCAAACGTGATGAAGATCAACTATTCATGTTTCTCCATCCAGAGATTCACAGTCTGTTGATCAGCTCCTCAGGTCTAAACCTGCTGTTGTGTTTCTGCCTCATATCTGAGTGACGACCACTGATTCTGTCTACATGAGACCAAATGAAGCTTCTGGTTCATCACTTTCTATCCTCACTGCAGGAAGAACAATGAAAGAAACACCTTCTAAATATGGAACTGAACTATTTTAGGAAAACAGGAAACTCTGATATTATTGGTGAATATTGTGATGGAAATATTGAATAATTAAGCATTTTAATCACTTTTCTTTCTTCATCTCTATCTCTAAGCTTTAGCATCTCTGTCACCAAATGTTGGAATAAAAGACACAGCAAGTCTTTTCATCTGAGATAATAAATTAGTAATAAATGATGTGATTACTGGATAAATGAATTAGTGTATATAGCAAATATTCCTGAAGTATCAGAGCTGCTGGCCTGTTCTTCACTTCGGTTCCTTTTAGTTTCCATCTGAGTTCAGTTTTTACCTTCAGGTTTCACAGAAACTCACAATGTTTCCACCAGAGCTTCACTGAACAGGAAGCATGAAAACAATAAAGACACTGAGGCTGAGCTTCATCACATGGCAGCAACACAGGCTGTGATTGGTCAGTTTGTTTTTTTAAGATTATTCATTTCTGCTTCTGATCACTTACCGAAATCCTGCTGGACTTCCTGCTGTGCCATCTTTTATCTGGAAAACAGGAAGATTCATTATGTTTCAGACTTTATTTCATAAATAATTTAATTTGCTCTTATGGCGTTTGGATGGAAATTAGATATGCCAGATTGATACACGCTCCCTACCAGAAAAAAAAAAAACTATGCAACTGTGGAACCCATAATAAATCAGTATGTAAACTGACTATTTAAAAAATAATTTATATGATCATTAATTTATCATATTGTAAGACTCGTGGGTGTCCAGCTACTGTGACTCTCCTTTGTAGAATAATCCACAGAAAATAATTGAGTTCTTTCTCAGTGTCGAACATTTAACTTTTTTCCGCTACACAATCAGCTGTCAACCAACTCAGCTGACAGGCACCCCGCTGTTTTTCCAACGTTCCCCTTCTCCCCCTTTCAAAATAAAACATTTTACATTCTGATAACTACAATTTTCACGCTTTCACTACTTCCCCCTTACGACAAAAGAAGCGTCCCCGCTTCAAAACATAGCAAATAAAATGGGGTGATTTAGTACAAGAAAACAGCCATTTTCATAAACTAAAATTATAGAATTGTACTTTTACAGGAATGAACTGTTAACACAGGAAACAAGGAAGAGAAAAAAATAATCACAATGCGACTTCAAAAACCCTTGTGAACAGAGCATCGGAGTAACCAAAAGTCATAGCTTAACAGTGAAGAAGGGGGAAAAAAAGAAAAAGTAAAATAACCCTTCAGAAGTCAGGCCTATACCTGTCTGGAGGACGAATGGGACGCCCAGACCTAGTTTGTTGCTTCACTGGGGTTGGAACTGCACTGTCTGGTGGGCCTGCTACTGCAGCTGGAATATTGCCTTCACTTTGACCTCTAGAGGGAGTAGCATGTGCCATGTCAGGTGTTGCCATACTATTATACTCAAATGTCCAAGGCCTAGAGCCTGAGAGGGCGGTTAGAGTGGGGGCCCCAGTACATGGTGGAGCATCTGTAACAGATGACCTGGCTACAGGGGACCTATATGGCTTGAGACGATTGTAGTGAACAACTTTGGATTTAGTTCTGGGATTAAATTGATCTAACACCTCATAGTCAACACCGATGTCCGCCTCAAGATCCAGCCGTTTTAAAACTTTGAAAGGACCAGTCCATCTAGGACCAAACTTATGTCTAGATAATGAGGGGATGTCAACCCACACTAGATCCCCAGGATCATAAGCTTCATGTCTCACTTGCCTGTCATAATAGTGCTTCTGTTGTATGGCTGTAGCAGCGACGTTAGCAGCTGCAGTGTCAAAAGCAGAACACAGTTTGTTTAGGAGACTAGTAGCATACTCATTAGGTGCACATGTAGGTGTTTGCTCATTGTTAGTCGGAGCACTAAGGAAAAGATCAGCGGGTAAATGAGACTCCCTACCATGAACCAAAAAGAATGGGGTGAAATTATTAGTGGAGTGTACACAAGCGTTGTATGCAAATTCAACCTGTTTCATGTGTTCATCCCACTCACCCCCTTTTGAGTAAAGGTACTTGGCTAACTGGTCTTTTATTAATCTGTTAGCCCGTTCCACCATTCCATTTGACATTGAATGATATGGAGATGTCCTTGTTTTGTCTACATCCATACTCAAACACAGACATTTAATAAGGTCTGAGTCAAACTGGCATTCCTGGTCAGTGTGTAAGCTGTGGGGAACACCATGGCGACAAATGTAGTCCTCAAACAAACACTTGGTTACAGTAACGGCTCTCTGGTCAGGAAGTGCATACGGGTTAATGTACTTTGTGAAATAGTCCATTAAAACAAGCATGTATCTGTTTCCATAAGTAGCGAGGGGCAACTCAGTGAAATTCATTGCTATTTTTTCAAATGGTTTTGAGACAACAACATGTTTTAAAGGGGCCTGCTGACGGGGTGTTGACGGCCGCCGTGCCTCGCACACCACACATTCTAAACACCACTCAGTTATATCCCGAGACATGTAAGGCCAGTAGCACCTAGCTTGAGCACACTGTAAAGTATTTACTGCATCAAAATGAGAATGACCATGTAGTGCCCTGAACACTTCCTTTTGCAGACTACTTGGAACAACAATCTGCACAACAGGATCACTAGAGGGATGCCGAACCTGCTGACAGAGGAGAGTCACTAACAATTAGTTTTGGAAACTCCCTCCAAAAGTGTCTATGCTTTGCAGAGCACTTTTTTATCTTTGCAAAAGGAGGGCTGTTATTTGTAAGAACCCATTCCAGAACAGTTTTTAACACAGGATCGTTGTTCTGAGCCTGTCTAAGACAGTCAGTGTCTCTGTTCAGGAAAGAGAGGTCAATAGGGTGACCTTGAGCCACCTGGTGGACCGATGCAGTAACATCCACAGAATTTGCAGTCACTGTTGGAACAAGAGGAGAGTTTGAGGGATTTGAGGCAGTAGAACAGTCAACTGCAGAGGATGGCTGGCTTGACATTGCACCAGCATTTGCATGATTGTGTCCTTGTCTGTGTTCAACAACCCAGTCGTACGGATCTATTTCAAGGGCCCACCTGGCTCTACGTCCAGTTGGGTCACAGTCCAAAGCCATTTTCCTCAGACTAAGAAGAGGTTTGTGGTCAGTGATGATCCGAAAGCAGTGTCCAGTTATATATTGGCAAAAATGCCTAATAGACAAATAGCCCATAGTTCTCTGTCATAGGTGGACCAATATTTAGTGAGGACATGACTACTGTAGGCAAAGACATTTTCCATATTCATGTCATCTGTCTGTGATAGTACACAACCAATGGCCACATTTGAAGCATCTGTAAAAAGCAGAAATTCATGTGAAAAGTCTGGATAAGAGAGAACAGGAGAGAACAGAGCATGTTGCAACGCATCAAAGGCACTGTCCAACAAAATAGTTTCCCTTTTTGGGTGAGTGCATGAAGTGGCTGAGACAGCTTGGCATATTGATAGATAAACCGTCTGTGAGCACAAAACAAAAAAGGCTCTCACTTCTGTGGGGCTCTTTGGGGTGGGCCACTGCTTTACTTTTTCAACATTTTTGGAATTGGGCCTAAACAACATTGATTCAATGACACAGTTTCAATGGTTTGATTGGATGGTTGTTTGATGGTTGATCCACCGTCGTTTGTCGACCTCAACCAAAAATCAACCATTCTAACTATAATTCAACGTTTATTTACCATTGTGTGCAATCTGGGCAGTTTGTTGCAGCCCTCATCACCTCCTCATCTCCCCCTACTCCCTCCCAAACCTCCCCCACCCAGCCGCTCCTCCCAACCTTCTCCTCTTTACCCCCTCTCATTCCTTCTTCCCTCCCCCTCCTTGAGCTCTGGGTCAGAACATTTTATTACTAGGTGGGGGTTAATCATGTTTCAAATTAAGCACTACATGTTGAGAACAGTGGGTTGTGATTCCTTTCTGTACATTTTCTTACTTGTCTGTAAATATTATTACTGACTGTGCATAATGTGTTGACACAAAAACATCTACAAGTCTGTACTAGGAGTTGTACAGTCCACCCCTCCTCCCCCGTTTTTATACTAGTGGTTCGTCCCAACCAAACAGCCACTTTGCTGCTGGCTTGTTTGCAACCGGTTTCTGAATTGAATTCTCCTCTGAG